CCACAATGTATCTCAAGTCTGATGTAAGATAATTGCATGAATAAATACATAAAGAATATCCTGGCCCACACACACACAAATCCTTGCAAGGATATCAAACTTCGGGAAGGGCGCCTATCGATGCATTGTCTCATACTAATGCACCGGTAATAACGAATTCGACCCAGACATAGTATACTAATCCTCTGACACGGCCCCCGTGAGCTAATAGTGGTTTGGTTCTCGCAAGGCACCAACTCCACTACAAGTGATAGAAAAAGTTCAAATCCGCACGGAGTAAGAACGACACACATCTACCCACTCTACGATATCCGGTCAACGGTCACTCATGGTCATCCAAACACCTCCATGAGATACAATCACCAATTCCATAGGTATTTTCCTAATGGAGCAATTTCAAGAAAAAAAAATATGCAAGAGATCATCAAACATGTATTTTTATTATTCAAAAAAAGCACTAGAGTTTTGAAATCAAGAATAAGGAATATCAAGAAGAAAAATCTTTATTTCTTAAAAGAAACAAGGGTTTTGAGATTTCAAGGATTTCATTGCTATCAAACCATAACTTCATTCAAAACATGATAATATTTGCAAGAGTATCAAGAAATAATGATTTCATAACATACATCTAAGATTTAGAAGCAAAATATACATAGATATAAACACTAACCTCAATGGACAATAATAGGAAGAAAACCCCTACTTGAATAAAAATTTCAAATAAGAACCCAAGTTCTAGTGATCTCCTTCTTCCCTTTTCTTCCTTCCTTAATCTTCCTCTATGGTTCCAAGAGGTGTGGAGTGAGAGTGGAGTGAAAAGAATGGGAGTAAATGGGATGAAAATGAGTTTTTAAACACAGCAGCCCCGATTTTTACTGTTCACAGACTGATTTGATTTTCTCTAAAATTATGGTTTTGCCACTAAGAATCTCCAATTTGATCCATATGACTACTCTAATATTTTTCGACGTTCCGGATTCATTTTTAATGTTATTTTAACCTAAAAATATTTATTTTTATGAGTTATCTCAAAACTAAAATAAATTTACACTCGAAACGCAAAAATTACTATTTTATTCCTCCGAACCGTTATATGTGCTAAAAGGCTATTTCAAGTTTTTCGGATCTCCCAGGTTCAATGATAATATTATTTTGACCTAAAAAACTTTATATTTTTACTTAGCTACCCTTATCAACCTTAAACACCTCCAAAAATTAAATTTCACCATTAGTTTGTCTCCCTAGTATTTATTCATACTATTGAAATCTATAGGGTTCATGCATACCTCATCACCTATATTAGCATTTCAAAAATAATTACTTGCTATATAAAGATAAGAGTGTGGGGGTTTACAGCATATGACATTCTTAGTGTTCTTGAGTTGAATTGTCAGGTGTTTCTGGCATTGTTTCCTTTGTGGCTTATTTTTGTAGTTCATTTATACATTGAGTGTAATTAAACTATGTGGTTATTAACAATAACTCACAGTTTTTGTGTCAATGAGAAAAAAGAAATATTTTGTTTTAGAAAAGATAAAGTGGGTTTCTATTTTGGAGAGATGGATTTGATAAACAATATTTGTAAGTGTTTTCCTCTAAGTATTGGGAGGAAGCTTAGAGGCTTCATTGCTGAGTATTGTGTTTCTCTTATGCTCCCTTTCTCTTTGTATCTCTCCCCCTATCTCTGCCTCACACACTCCCAAAACAGTGACACCCCACTCCCCAAATCCACACACACATAACAACACATCACATAATCACGCACTTTTACACAAATCATAACCATATGTAGAAACACAACCATATTTGTAGGGTTTCCTTAATTGTACGATTTCTTTTGATGAAATTTGAAAGATAAATTTTGTTCATGTTAGGGTTTTGTGTGTTTCGATCTAATTGGAGTTTGTTCACGTTAGGGTTTTGTTAATGGTATGAAATTGGGTGTTAATATGATTTTTTATTGGCATTTAGGAGTTTTTGTGCCCAATTACTTGCTCATTACAAGGATTGAATTTCTCTTTTTATATTTTTTTTTTCCTGTTTATCGAATCTATTTTTTCGCACATCCTTTCCCATGGACTTAATTATCAAATTTGTGGAGTTTATAGATTGTTCCATTTATTGCTTTATTGAGTGGCTGAAATTCATAATGCATCAATTTAAAGATAAAAATTCTCTAATGTGTTGATTAATTTTCACTTTCAACAAACGTTATGCATGTATTTTGTTTCTTATTCAACTTGGAATCATGTGTTTGGTTATATTTGTAGAGATCGTACATGACGTGTTGATTCATCTGTCATATTCTACTGTGTTTGGGGTTTTGAAGGCCTGAAATGACTCTGACTTCTTTGGTGTGAGGAATGAAGTTTCTCGAGACCGACATAGGAAAGGGTGGCGAAATCAAATGGTTGCTAACGTTGAGAAAGGCTTTGCCTTCTTTGTATTCTTTTAACTAATATTGTTTGTGATGATTTAATTTTTTCATGATTTTGTGTTTTTGCTATTGTTTTTTGAATTCACATATAGTTTATGCTATATGTGCACTTTTAACCACCCACCCCTCCCCCTCATTTTTTGAATGCATATTGTAGTTGTCTATTTTATTATGATAGTGATGCATGTATTTGCATTTAGTCTTACCACATTGCTGTGCAGTGAACATAATGATTATTGATTTGACAAAAGATTCAACAATATATTTGAGGGATAGTAAAGAAATAGGAAGGAAGATTCAATTCTTCCTCACTTCATTTAAAGTTCAACTCTATTAGATGTGCACGTTATGATTTATTTATTTTTTTTGAAAAAATCTTATAATTTTCTAATTTTTGTGGTTTCAATCTGGTTCTCTCTAGCCATTGTCACGGGAAAAAATATTGCTTAACATGATCAATGTGGAGTAATGAAGTTAATTGCTATAGTAATGCCAACCATGTGTATAGAGAACTTAACACTATTTTTTATCGTGGTTTTTTGTTTTGCTGTTAAAGGTTGATGAATACATGGTAAAGTGTTTTGTTTGTTAATGTTGTACAAAACTGCATTACTTCAATCTATCATAATATAATGCTAGAACTATTGATTAATGATCTTTGTGAATATTATGCGGCAGAGACTTTGTTATTTATTTTTATTCTCATTTCACGTGGTGTTTTTAGTCTATAACGAAGCTATGTCATGTATAATGACGTTTCTTCTTAGTGGTTAGTTTATTGTTCTTACTTTTTAAAGGAAAGATTAAGGTGTTTGTTCCAAACTTTGAAATTAGATTGTGTTGATGTTGGGAATGTATGATAATGAATTTTGTGGCTTCAAAAAGTTCATTTTAATTGTGGTTGGTTTATTATATGATTTTAGATTTAGTTATGCAGTAAGTTAGAAATTTGGGCATCAATGCTTTGGGAAATAATTAAAGATTGGGTTATCGTAGTTTAGGAAAGGAAAAAAAGATTAGGTTGTCAAGCATCAGTAATTATTTAAGGTTTTTTGTTTATCACGTAGTGCCTTTCGGCACGGGCAACTACTAGCTATAAATTTATACTTAAGTCATATTTAGGATTATGAGCGGTATATATACAAATAAGTATGATTGTAAATTCTGTAGACAGTTTTAGATTTTTATGGACTCCTATTTTTAGAGAGAATTTTGCCAAAATTTTTGAAAAATAGTAGACTAGCTTGATTTCAGTTTATTATATTAAAGCAAATGAAGTAAAAACTATTTCAAATTGAAAATTATTTTAGGTTACAAAGTGTCTTTAGGCAATGTAGTATTCTTTAATTTTTCATTACATCGTGTCTTCAAGCTAGTATAGGATGTGACTTGAAGAGTCTGAACTCTTGAATCTAAAAATTGATGCAATTTTAAAACATTTTGATGTAAGATATTTCTCTTAAAAGATGCACGAAAGCTTCAGTTTGGTCTCTGAATATTTTTTTATCAACAATTTTATTTTGACCTTATTTGTTGAGATAATTTGTTAATATAATTTATCACAATTATTGAATTGATTGGTGGTCACATTAAATATTGAGGTCCACTATCAATCAAATTGGATCACCGGCGACACATTTTTTTTTTGTTTGTTCACACTGGTGATCTTCGCCGAGAGAAATCCGAAAGCTCCAGAATTTTTTCTTGGTTTGACGAGAGGGTAAGGCTCTTGTCAATTTAGCTATATTACAAAGGAAAAATGGGTTAAAAGTGGGTTCAATTTGACATTGAAATTCACAACTGACCCAACTACTTGCATAATCAAAGACTCCAAATCTATACTTCTGCAAACTACGTATAGTTTGTTAGATCTTTTTGAATGCTACTATATCTCTACCACCCAATTCGCACCACTTGCCTCACGTTCTATTCTTCCTTTTCTTTCTTCCCAATTGACCCCAAAAATGGTATGTATATATGTGCATAGTTGACATCAACTTCACCAGTGTATTTCTCAAGGAGTATTGTCACTTGTACTTAATTTATTGAATTACTTACAATAATCTAATTCACTCTAGCCATTGTATTTGTGTGTGTGTGTGTATTATATATGTGTGTGTGTGTGCGCGAGAGAGAGAGAGATTAAAATTGATTTTGTTGTTAGAGAAAACCATTTTGTTTTATTTTCTCAATTGATAATTTTGAAGCTTATACATAAGGTATGTGGTTAATGAAACAAATCATTTTATTATTATTTTGAGCCATTTTTTTTTTTAGGATTGTTGTGATTCCTCTTTGTTTGGGTTTATGCGTTGAAGGTTTCATCTTGATTGGTTGGTGATGGTGGGGGGGGGGGGGGGCGTGGGGGGTGGTAGCGGCGATGGCACAATGATAGTGGTGCTGGAGGTGGAGGCGACGGTGACACAATAGTGGTGGTGGCAATGACACAATATTAGTGATAGTGATGGCGACACAATGGTGGTGGTGGGTGAATGGTGGATATTGAAAATTAAAGAATGTTAAATGCATTGAGTTTTAAACATTAAGTGATATTATCAAACAATCCCTTACTATTATTCTAAATCTGAACTATTATTCTAAATCTGAACGAAGACCTCCAGAGGGCAACACATAAATGGCTACTAGGTCAAGCCTAAGTAGCACTTTATTACAATGCTACGGACATGGAAATCTAGTACTCAGCTTGAATTCATTTATTTGTGGACCAGCCAGAAAAGCTTCATGTTGTCGCAAAAACTCATTTTGCATGGGGTGTGCATGCTCTTGTATCTCCTTCCAAGCCTTGTTCACATGGCAATAGTCTGTAAGTGTTGCTCCAACAGCAAGCCTTATCACGTACACTCCCCCAACCACAGCATGTGTCATGTACACTCTCCCTGTTGCATTAATGGATTCCAAAAGTTTTTTGTTGAATTCATTTGCATCTCCTTCACCTAAAAGCTTCTGAGTAGCATTTCCCACCATTAATAGCGAAACCCGAAAACAAACCATTGCAAAATTTCTCGGAACCATGACCTCGAACCTCTTGTCCATGGCTATGAGCCCTTCAAAATGTTTTGCCATTTTTACATGACCTCTTATGAAGTTTCTGAGGTTTGATACTCCATAGCTTCTGAGCACAAGCCATAGCTTCATTGCTCGGAATCGTCGGCTCAATGCTATTTGCCAGTCTTTGTAGTCCACCACTTGGTTTGAATCGGAAGCCTTGTTCTTCAAATACTCCGAATCAGTTGAGAGAGATTTGATTAGGGCACTTGGTTCCTTTACCCAGAGACAACAACAATCCAAAGTGGTGAAGAACCATTTATGTGCATTGAGGCTAAATGAGTTAGCACCCTCAATACCATCAAGAAAATGACGAAACTCTGGGCAAATAAATGCACTTCCTGCATATGCAGCATCAATATGAACCCATATATTATAATCTTTTGCTACATCACATAATGGCCCCAATGGATCAATTGCATTGGACGAAGTAGTCCCTATAGTGGCACAGAAAAACAATGGAATTAGCCCAAATTTGACATCTGATTGAATTGCTGACCTTAGTGAAACGGGAGATAACCCAAATGCAGTGGACTTTGTGGTCAATAGAGATCGAAAATTCAAGGGGTTAATGCCTGCAATTTTAGCAGCTTTTTGGAGTGCAGAGTGGGTTTGATCAGACCCATAAACAACAAGCTTCCCCATGTTTTCTCTCCCAATTTTGTCTAACATTTGGTCCCTCGCCGCGGTTAGTGTGCACAGGATGGCCTCACAAGTAGTCCCTTGTAGAACACCACCACCACCGCCAGAGAAAAGAAATGAAATGGGAAGGTTAAGCATTTTTCCAAACCAGTCCATCACTATGCTCTCTAGCTCTGTGGCAGCTGGTGAAGCAATCCAGTTGAATCCAACAACATTAAAGCCAGAGCTAAGCACTTCACCAATAAATCCTGCTACGCTTCCACTGGAAGGGAAGTAACCAAAGAAGTTTGGACTTTGCCAATGTGTTAAACCAGGTATGATATCCTTTTGCACATCTTTTAGAATTGTTTCTATAGTTTCAGGCTCATCTGGAGCAAGCTCCGGTAGGCGTTTTCGAAGGTAACCCGGTTCAACTTGGCTTCGAACTGGATATTTCTCAACATTTTTGTAGTAGTCTGCAAGGAAGTCCACAATCATGTGGCCTTGCCTCCTGAATTCCTCAGGGTCTAGAGGATTCATGGTTGTGTTGAGATAGTTATCTAGGTCAATGTTCATTTCGATAGTACCCCTTGGGATCAACGTTGAGTTAGGTGGTTTTTCTTGCGGAAGTGGGGTGGTTGCTATGTAGCAAAGGCCTGTCCTTTGGGAGAAGAAAATGGAGAGGGAACGGTGAAGCTTGCGTAGTACTCGATTGAAAATATAACTGGACATTTATAAGACTTTTTTGGCTGGGACTATTTAGAGCTTTTAATCAAAACCAACCTCCCCACAAACTTAATTTTTAAATTCAATCAATTTTAAACTTATTTCTCAAATTCAATCTCTTTTTAAAAGCGTTATTTCGAATGATGTTTTCATAGTTCAAAACGTTATTTCAAATGATATTTTTAACCTTGACAAAATGAACAAAGTTTGTAATAATAATAAATAAAAACATCATTTAAAGTAGTGTCTTTTATAAAATCAATTTTAATAACGTTTTTAATTTAACAGTTTTGGTAACGGTGTTAAACTTAAAAACGTCATAGCTATTTTGGAACCTTTTCACCAAACTATTTTGCTTGATCAACTTAATTCCTAAAATTTCAAACTTATTTTTGTAAATCAATTACTATTAAAAAATGTCATTATAAATAACATCTTTGGGGGCGAAAATATCATTCTTAATAGCACTTAATCTATTCTATATCTATATCTCAACTACTAATAAAAGTATCTTAAGATAAAAAAATTTGCAATCTCTATTTTACCCTTATAAGGAATTATAAAAATAACTCTATACTTTCACAATTAAATATATAAATTATCATCATATTCTTATGTAGATCTATATTTATATTTATGCTACTTATAAAAGTATCTTCAGATAAAAACTTTTTAATCTCAATTTTACCCTTATAAAGGATTATAAAGATTACTCTATCCTTCCACAATTAAATAACTAAATTATCATCATATTCTTATGTATTTAAAATTTTAAATTATCTATAAAATCTCTTTTATTTATTTATTATATATGTATAAATATCAGTTTCTATAAAAAAAATTTGATTGATTGTATATTCTTAAAAAATATGCATCATTATATTTTTAATAAAGTGTTCAAAAAACTTTCAAAAACTTCATTAATCTAATATTGCTCATCTCATATGTAAATATAATATTATGCCTACAAATTTGTATTTTCTTTGTCATCGAAAGGTTTAACCCCTAGTAATAAATGTACCTTAAGATGAAAAAATTTTAAATCTCTATTTTATCATTATAAATGATTGTAAAGATCACTCTATCATTTCGCAATTAAATATCTAAATTACCATCATATCTTTATATATTTTAAATTTCTAAATTATCTATAACATCTCTTTTAATTATCTATTCTCTATATATAAATATCAATTTCTATAAAAAAATTTGATTGACTATATTACTCTTAAAAAATATATATCATTATATTTTTAATAAAGTGTTCAAAAAATTTTTAAAAACTCCATCAATCTAATATTATTCATCTCATATGTAAAGATAGAATTATACCTACATATGTATATTTTTTTTAATTAAATTTTTTTAACTTTTTTATTTCTAATTAAGATAAAAAATAATGGTATATAATTTTTTAAAATTAATTTATTTCAGATCAATATTTTTTTATATAGAAATAGATAGTATAGTATATTTTTAACTAAAACTTGAATTTTTTAGAATTTTAATATACTTCATACTATATATTATAAAGTAATATATTAAACCTTATATCAATTGACCTAATTAATTCCTAATTACAATAAGGTTCCAATGTATTTAGTATATTGACAATTACTCTTATTTTATTCAAAAAATTATAAGTGAAATCTTAATCAAATGAATTTCAAGAAATTTAATTTTTTCAAATATCACTAAAAAATTAATCTCAATCAAAAAAATTTTAAAAAAATAAAAATTTAACTATTTTTTTTACGATTTTTTTTAATTGTTGTCTAGTTAATTTTTGCTCATTTAAGAATGTCGGTTCGCTGGACCCAGATTCCCACCATGGTAAGTGCGACCGTCAATATATATGTCCTCCACACATGTGGTATTGTCCTGCTGTCAACATCTGACAGAGTTTTTTGGTACCACACAGAAAAAACAATATAGGGCGTTGATGGGTCTGCCAATCACTCTGGAGTCAGGACCATTGGTATTAATTAAAAAACATATATATTCTTAAAATAGTATGGTCAGATTGTACGACACGTGACTTGCACTATCTGTCAAAGTTGGTTAGGTCATAGCAATTAAGGTTATATTTACAACATTTACAATCAATACCGAATACCGACATTTTACGATACCGAATTTTTTATTTTTTTGTACGTTACCGACATTCTATTTGAGTCATTTATATAATTTATCTTTTTTTTTAATCGTTAGATCAGTTTAAAAGTGGGATACCGGTTACCTGTTACACCAATAATAAAAATAGTAGTAGAAAACAGTTGGATTTAACAAATAATCTCCCCAAAAAAATTAGAACTCTTCTTTTAAGAGTTGTAATCTCTACCAAAAATGTTGGAACTACTCCCCCCAAGAGTTGGAACCCCTACCCCAAGAGTTGGAACCTCTACCCAAAAAAATTGGATCCCCTACCCAAAAAAGTTGGAACCCCTCCCCCCAAGAGTTGGAATCCCTATTAAAAAATGTTCGATTCTCTACCTAAAAAAGTTGGAACTCTTCCCCAAAAAGTTGGAACTCCTGCCCAAAAAAGTTGAAACCCCTACCCAAAAAAGTTGGAATCTCTCCTCTCAAGAGTTAGAACCCCTACTCAAAAAAGATGGAACATCTACCCAAAAAATTTGGAACCCCTCTCCCAAGTATTGGAACCTCTACCCAAAAAAATTAGAATCCCTATTCAAAAAAGTTGAAACCTTTCCCCCCAAGAGTTGAAACTTTATCCAAAAAAGTTGGAACCCTTCCTCCAAGAGTTGGAACCTCTATCCGAAAGGTTGAAACCCCCACCTAAAAAAGTTGGAACTCATACTCAAAACAGTTGTAACCCTTACCCCCAAGAATTGGAACCTCTATCCAAAAAATTTTGAATCTCCCTAAAAAAGTTGGAACCCTACTCAAAAAAGTTGGAGCATCTCCCCCAAGAGTTGGAACCTTTGCCCAAAAAAGTTGGAAGCCGTCCCCTAAAGCCCCTCCCCAAAAAGTTGGAATTCCTACCAAAAAAAATTGGAACCTCTCTTCCCAAGATTTAGAACATTTACTCAAAAAAGTTGCAACCCCTCCTCCCAAAAAAGTTGAAACACTTCTCCAAAAAAATTGAAATCTCTACCCAAAATAGTTGGAACCCCTCTCCCAAGAGTTGAAACTTTTACCCAAAAAAGTTAGAACTCCTACCCAAAAAATTTAGAACCCCTCCCCCCAAGAGTTGGAACCACTTACCCAAAAAGTTGAAACCCCTCCCCAAGAGTTGAAATCTCTACCTAAAAAAGTTGGAACTCACCCAAAAAGTTGGAAACCACTCCCCCAAAAAGTTGGAACCCCTGCTAAACAAAGTTGGAACCCCTCCTCAAAGAGTTGGAACGTCAATCTAAAAGGTTGGAACCCTCACCCAAAAAAATTAGTACCCCTACCAAAACAGTTGGAATCCTTACCTCCAAGAGTTGGAACTCCTACCCAAAAAGTTAGAACCCTCCCCCAAAAAGTTGGAACATCTACCCAAAAAAGTTGGAACCCTTACACAAAAAAATTGGAATCTCTCCCCCCAAAAGTTGGAACCCCTAACCAAAAAAAGTGAAAGCATCTACCCCTAAGAATTGGAAAATCTGACAATAAAAGTTGGAACCCTCCAAAAGTTGGAACCTGCCGAAAAAGTTGCAACTCCGAAAAAGTTGGTACCAAAAAATTATAATTCAATTCAAAAATAGTTGAAACGTCAAGCAAAAATTGGAACCCAACTCTACCCAATAGTTAGAACCCACCCAAAAAGTTATAACTCAATTAAAAAAATTGAAATAGGAGCCAAAAATATAAATTATTGCATAAAAGTTTAAACTCTATCCTAAAAAGTTAGAACCACTCCAAAAAAATATAATTCAATCTTAAAAAATTTGAGCAAAACAATTGTAATCTAGTTAATCCGAGTCACCCAAAAAATTGGAACTCAATCCAAAAAAAGTTATAACCCTGACCCAAATAGGTGGAAACATTATTTACAATTCTTTTATTTACAATTTTTTTAATTATTTTATTTTATTCATTATTTATTTGTTGTTAATAAAAATGGGACTATTTAAAAAATATTGAATATTGTTGGACAGTAGGATGTTTTTGATTATTTAAGGGAAAAACGTGTGATAATTAAAAGATAAAATGGATAAAAGTGTGATAGTTAATGAATAAAAAAGATAAAAGTGTGATATTAACCCCCGATCGGTCTCCCATTTCTTCAACCGGTCCTTATTCTTCATATGTAAATTACACTTACACCCCATATATTACAATATATTAATTTTTTATTTTCTAAGTGAATATTGTCGTCCACAAATCACAAAAATCTTATCTTCTTTTATTTACAATTCTTTTAATTATTTGATTTTATTCATTATTTATTTGTTGTTAATAAAAAATTGGAATATTTAAAAATTATTGAATATTTTTAGACAGTAGGATTTTTTTGATTATTTAAGGGATAAAAGTGTGATAGTTAAGGCATAAAAGGGATAAAAGTGTGATATTAACCCCCGATCGGTCTCCCACTTATTCGGCCGGTCCTTATTCTTCACATGTAAATTACACTTACACCCCACATATTACAATATATTATTTTTTTTTATTTTCTAAGTAAATATTGTCGTCCACAAATCACAAAAATCTTATCTTCTCCTCCACCCACTTTCTTGCCTAAATGACTATTACTATTCTTGCCTTCCCTCTATCTTTTTCACCATACAAAAAGTATTTGTTGTTTCGTTTAGGTTTTGTTGAGTCTGTAAGGACGAGGTACTGTGAAACTCCATTACGTTGCCTTTGATAATTCTCCATTGCTTACCTTGGTGATTCAACTCTTGACTCGTTCTGATATAATGAAAGTGAACACTTTTTTTAGTTAATAGTGTAATTTATATGGTGAAGCCTGGTTAATGGTTTATTTGATGTTTAGGGTGAAAAAGGAACATGAAACTGAA